GGTCTTAGGCATTGCAGGAGCATGCCGTTCTGATGAGTTATGCAAACTTACTTTGGACAACGTCAATTTCAAAAATTTCGATGACATTATTGTAGTTATAATTCCATATTCTAAAAATGCGTCACGTACGTTTACAATTACTTTTCGTTTGGGTTCTGTTTCTCACCTAGAAATTTTCAATTAAGATTAGATTGGAAATTAAAACTGAAATTTAACGCCTTTTTATGAGCTATCAAGCAGGTAGATGTTATAACCAACCAGTCGGCAAAAATACCCTTTCTATGATTTCTAATAAGATCGCACAGTTTCTGAAACTAGAACATCCTGAAACATATACAGGTCATTCATTCCGAAGAACATCGGCAACGTTACTGGCTAATACAGGAGTTGATGTATTAGCAATCAAGAGACATGGTGGGTGGAAATCAACCATAATTGCAGAAAGTTATGTTGCTGACAGTTTAAGTAACAAAAATGAAATAGCTAACAGGATTCTTTAGTATGACACTTCAACTCCAGGTTCTAGTAGTACGTCACATCATGCTCTTTTAATGGATCAGTCAGGTAACAATTGAGCCTCCGGTGATTGAAATGGAGCGGTCAAAGATTTTATAAATACAATTTTATACAAATATTCGTTTATAATAATGATTAATAATATGTAATTTTCATCAAATATTTCTATTTATTTGTTCATAAAATGTACATTTATCACTTTTTTTTTGTGAGTTAACTTACCTCCCGCTGTCCATAGCAACTTCCACTTCTACGGTAAAATCCACTTACCTCTTTAAAAACAATGCATTAATAGTGTATTTACTATAGTGGGAGCAGATAAAATTAATTACAGACTTTTTTTACCGTCTCATGTTACTAGTGTGCCACAAAATATGATCCCAACAAGCGTTTTCACGCACAGCAGCGCTTCCTTGTACCGAGGCTCCCAAGTACCAGAGCAAGTACCTACTACCGCGATCATTCCCATGGCCAACCTTGGGCCGCTAAAAAAAATGCGGAGTACCGTACGTCGGTGTAATTGAAGTCGAACTTTCACTCTCGGCGAACGCTGAATCGCGCCCAGCCCATTATTTTTATCTTCGAATTGATAACGAGGCATAGTAGGCAATGTGGCGTGAGAACGAGGTGCTCCCGCAATATGTTCGGCGATTCCGCGGTCTTGGATCTGTTGGACGGGCCGCGTCGTAAACAAAAGTTGGTTTAATCGGTTGTCGAGGTGTGGTAAGGAGATGGGCATATTCAGAAGGACTTACATAAGGTACCGGCCGCTGGGCTTGGACGGGTACCTGGATGTCGCTAGTCGTAAGTGTAGAAACAATTAAATACATATGTAAATATTTACGTTTCCTAACTTTTAGTTTGTTGTAAAAGTTATAACAATAGCAAATTACCTGGAACAGTTATTATGAATGCTATAAATGTTGTTTTCCTGGAGAATTGTTTTATTATAGATATACTCGTGTCTCCAGTTTCGATCGATATGTCGACGCAACAGTTGGAGTGAATAGGCTTAATTAATTCTAATTATTAGATATCTACGCAAAGCCAAGTCCTAAATCCCCTAAATATAATTGAAAAAAAATTATCTGCGATACTATTTAGTAATTATTTTTCATTGTATTGCTTTACTTGTTTTGTTTATGAAGGGTGTAACTTTGAATAAGGGTTATATTCATACGGAGGCTATCTTTGACCTTCTGAAACGCATATCGGAAGTTTGTTTTCTCAAATTCTATTGTGATATTTGAATTATTTTTTACTTTTTTTTTTCGTAATTTTCACACCTCGCCGCTGGACAATCCAGTATAACCTCAAACAACGGCACGCGCTAACAGCCAGCGCATACTCACTAGACATTTTAGTAGTGACGTCACATACGCCAAATAATAGGTAACCCCATAGTGCACATTGTCATGAAGAATTTCTCAATTTTTATAGTAGATCGATTTTCGACCTTATGCACTTTGGACATAAGTGGCGAAAATATTATCACGATATTCTGGCAATATTAGAAATATATAAGAAGTTTCAAACCCCAAGTGACAAACTAAAAGAATTGTAGAATTTGTATTTTTAAAATAACGTTCAAGCGTTCAAATAAAAACGTGGTCAAGTTGGTTCTGAAAATTTGGACGTAGGGCGTAGCGTATAGCAAATGAACTTACACGTCATCTGTCAAAGCTGATTTTCCTCGACGGGCTGTATTTTGTGAATGGTTTTTAAACATCTACGGTGAACTTCATAATATCACCTTTTTTCTGATGAAGCCTGGTTTCATTTAAGTGGTTACGTGAACTCACAGAATATGAGAATGTGGTCTTCTGAAAAACCAGATAACTTTTTTGTCGAGGGCCCTCTACACGCTCAAAAAATTGGAGTTTGGTGTGCTCTCAATCGAAGGAGGATTTATGGACCTATTTTTTTTAATGGTACTCTTACTGCGCAAAGGTATAGAGAAGAAATTATCGCTCCTTTTGTTAACCAGCTGGAAGAAAACGAAATTACAAACTTTTACTTTCAACAAGATGGCGCAAGGGCACATACGGCAGGCGAGACGATGAATATGTTGAGGGAAGTTTTCCAAAATCGACTAATAAGTCTCAATGCTGAACATGAATTTCCACCGAGGTCATGTGATATTACGCCGTGTGATTTCTTTTTGTGGCCTTACCTTAAAAACACTATTTTTGAACTGCCTATTCCTGATTTAAACCATCTGCAGGCTCGACTTATAGACAAGATTCGTGAAATTAACAATACCCCGAGCATCTTAGAAAATGTCTTTAATTCTTTGAGGAACAGGTGTGAAAAGTGCTTGGAACAAGGAGGGGGACACTTTCAGCAGCTGCTTTAATTTATTGTTATAACAAGGAGGGGGACACTTTCCGCAGCTCCTTTAATTGTTTATTGTTATCACGATTATTTTTTAAAATAAAGTTATATGGTCATTAACGTTATTGAAACTGACAGCTGCTATACAGCTGGTTGAGAAATGAGGTTAAGTTGGTCGCTATAAGCTACTCCCTACGTCCAATGTGTCAGAGCCAACTTCGACCACGTTTTTATTTGAACGCTCGTTAGAACAATATTGACTTTTATAGTAATTAATAAATTAAAATTATATCAATGTTACTGAGCATGCGCACTAAAGATAATTTCATGTAAGCGAAGTAGCCTTGAAACAGGATATCATTCCAGAAAAGTTTGGTTATGGTTAAGTGTATGCCAACTTGTGATTTCGTGCTTTCTTTCTCCTAAGTTTTGTAACAATTTCTGATATATTATCATGCCTAAAAGAGTAGTTAGTATTAGTGCAATTTTTCTGTACTTTGAAGAAAAGAAGCTCATCCTAAAGGCAAAAAAAATAATTTACCAATATTCATCAAAGGGATAGGGCATAACTGACGCTTTATACAAAACATATTATTTGTCATGCCAAAAAACATAATAGTGCCAATTTCCTTGTTCATACTCTGAAAGTTTCTAAAATTATTGGGAAAAAACAAAATTCAAACATTGAAGGCCCTGTATCTTTGAAAGCAGCAACATTTGCTTCCCAACCTTTCGTAGCCACCCTGTGTATGTTTTTCTATAATACCATACATAAATTTGACCATGAAGACAGACAACACATTGTATCGTTACTAAACGCAAATAACTTTGTAAGGTTATACATAAATATACATAAACAAATGAAGCTGACATATTTGGACCTTTCCTTTTTGCTTGATAGCTGTGACATTACATCAGGTATCTTAACATTATGTAGTTCACCTTAATTAGGTCAATGTTTAGAGGTCATTGACCCTGAGATTCACAAACTAAACACAGTGCTTTAAAAAATAGCAACAAACACTTTTACATAAAAGTATACATAACCTGATTAACCAACGTAAAACAATGATAGTGCGTATCATTGGCGGTTTAATTTTGTTGCTGAAACATAATATTTTTTCTAAAAGTTTGATGTATGTATAAATAATTTTTTAAAAACACTCGAATTATTTTGCTTCGCGTTTCGTCCTCATTGACATTAAAAAAAATATGGTGACTGAAAAGTCATACAAAAGTAATCTGCTTTAACAATTAAAAAAAAATTGTATTAGCATTTAAATATTAATATGTACTATTTATTACCTATAAAAATTTGACCCTAACCGAAAGTTACATCCTGTATATGATCAACTGGTTTCCGTTTATTTAGATTTTTCGTTACATGTGAAAAAAAGGTAAATATTAAATAAATTCTTGCCCAAAGAAATCGGTTAAATTTAGGGTTGTTTTTTTGAAACTATTTTTGTTCAATAAAAAATCTTATACTGAAATTGCAGATAAAGAAAGAACAAAAAGTACGTTCTTCACTTAGTTAACATTTCGAAAATTTCTTTCTTTTCTAATAAGTTTTTCGGTTTAAATTTTGTTTCGTTATCTTTTTATTCTATTATTATTTACGTCCTCTTTCAGTATTTAGGGAAGTAGATAATAAAACCAAAATTTAAACTGACAAACTTATTAAAGGAAACTTGTTTTTTTTAAAGGAAAGGCAATGTTACTAAGCTATTACATCACACTGAGTTTATGAATGTAATTCATAGATTATTTAACGTGTTGTCTAAAAAGATATACGTCTTCCTACAGTGAAATCAGAAGTTCTCAACAAGCCTTCCATTAAAAAATCACACATATTTGCTTTAAATTCGACTTTTTTTTCCTATTTCAAGGACCAACATGTATGTATATTTCTTACAGAACAATAGTAATACCCCTCTTCCTAATCCCAAGGATTGGCCCAGAAATCCGAAATTTGTGCGGGAGAAGGGGCGGTATATTATTATTTAAGAAGCCCCATGCGCTATGCAGAATGTGACAAAACGTCTTGAAACTTGTCGGTTTGAGATTTTATGCTTGAACTCTGAGGTAGATTTCGAATACAAATCAAAATTCGTCACAAGTAGCTTCTAATTCACAATTTTCTGTTACAGGCCCTTCGTTCGGAAAAAGACACACCCAGATCTTAATTTATTTCCTTCTCATATTCATCGCGTATGGAATTAGAGTAAATTTGTCAGTTGGGATAGTAGCCATGACTGATCCAACTGCAAGTAGTAATCCAGATGTACCGGTAAGTGTTTGATGTATAAAAAATCGTTATTAGTGTCTTTAGTCTTTTTCAAAACCCGAACAAAAGTTTGACAGTGGTCGCGCATCAAATCCGGGATCTAACAATTCGAAGAAATCGACACTTAAGTTTGGAATTTTAATCGAGAAAAGATAAACTGAATTAAGTTATCTGTGAATCGGAATGTTTGTTATAAAGTGGTTTTTAGTTAGCAAACACTCGAGCACGAGTGATATCCAAACATATCCGGAATTTGTAAAAAAATAGCGAAGGCGCGGAAACAGAACTAGATCTATCGAGTAAAAAGAGAATAAAAAAAAACGAAAAGTTTTCCTTTCGTAATCAAGTTTGGTTTAAAAAGCAAACCTGAACAACTGCGAATATCGGAAGTTTATAAAAAGCATCCGCCAGGAGAGGCTTTAAAATTTAAAATATGTGCAAGAAAATTGTTCAAGTTGAAATATCTGCTTAGTAAGTCAATCAGAGAACTAACTTATTCTTATTTTGTGGCACAATCGTGCTACCTTTGACGCAAGCTACTGAGATTACACTTAATCAAAGTATTTATTGTTTGTTTCTTATTTAATGGAATATAGGATGCGTTTTACTCTATTTTAGAGGTTTTTAAGCGTAGGTATTCAAAGAAATTCTTAAAAATCTTATCAATACCAACTATTTTATAAGATACTCGCACATGCCTTAATCGAAGAAAATTCTTTAACTTCGTTCGATGAGATTATTATTGAATTTAAAAAGATAATAGGCTGTGTAAAAGTTACTTTGTATTTTTTTAATCGATGATTCAAAGGGCAACTAAAAAATATTGTGAAGGACAAAGACAATGGTTGTGTCATGACTTTAAGCATAATTAATAAATAAATTTCCACATGGAAAATGAGCTGTTTCTTTGCACGGAAATCATCTATTATTATTGTTAGAATTTTATGAAAAGCTATAAAGATAATTTATGAAATAATTAAGATTCCTGAATGTTTGATTAACGTACCGAGCAATTCAATTGATTGATAAAAGAAACAGAAACACAGAAATAGAATTTTTCGTGATTATACTACCCTGCTTATCAGATTGGCTGACACTCAAGACATGATTCCATTTTAGAATGTGAAAATAATAACACCTCTTTCCCGCTTGTACGCTTATGACACGCACTGACACACATTAATCGGAAAGCGCCACAAATGTACTATGTAACTCGATTCCAGAGGTTCCCAATAAGTTTAAAACAATCAACAATATTCTGTCTCCATCTGTTGCAGACCTACAACTGGACGGACAAAAGCGTCATGCTGTCGGCCTTCTTCTGGGGGTACGTCCTGCCCCAGGTGGGCGCCGGGTGGCTGGCCAACACCTACGGCCCCAAGTGGTTCCTCATCTCGGCGATGGCCGTCTGTTCTTTGTTCGGGCTTCTCCTTCCCTCGATGGCCGCCATGTTTGGTTCTAAGGGCGTGATGGCCAGCAGGGCCATCCAAGGGCTCTGCCAGGGGTTCATTTTCCCTTCCACGCACAATCTGCTGGCCCAGTGGGTGCCGCCGAACGAGCGGAGTAGGCTGGGCACGTTCGTCTATGCAGGTAAACCTACTAGATCTAATTCCGTCTAATTGTCACCCAACGGCAAAAAGACCAATAACTGTCGAGCAATGTTTGACAGACCAATAACATTGCCGATATTTTTTTTAATAGGACGCTCTATATTCTGTAGTATAAACAGATAGTCCTTCTAAAGACGAATTCAGTGATATAAGGTTGTACCTACTTTTTTGTCACAGTTGTCAAAAAAATGTAAAAAATTGTCTTTTATGTCGTACTGACGACTATTTCAAACATAGTCTCTTCTGTACTTTAAAAAACACACCTACTCTTTATTAATCTTTTTCTACTTACTTTAAAGTTTTTTTTCTCAGAAACAAACACATCGATAAAAACATAAAATACACAAGAGTACCTTAGGTATAATGTGAATCGCTTTAGTTCCAGTTCATTCGTTGTTAAATTATTTGGAAAAATGGTTACCCGTTTGGGGAGATACAATCCGTAGTCAACAGGAAGTATGTGGCCTATTTCACCATAAGTATCCAGACCAAAGAATTAGTTGAACTACAACAAGCAAAGTACTACCCAAAAAGTTTGAAGAAATCAGAAGTATAAAAAATGTACCTGGATCAGGAAGACGAAGAACGGTAAGCGAAAATGACCGTCAAGCATCAAATATGTTTGCAGTTACTGAAAATCCTCACTCATCCATCCATCTATCTCACTCAACTTCAACTTGAAGTTTTCACAGAACTCTGAAGTCTCAAAAGTGGCATCTTTAAAAAGTTAACGTCTTACAAGAACTATGGGCATATGACACAGACAGAAGACTGCAGTTTTGCGGCGAAATTAGAAATTTATTTGAAAGACGACCCAACTTAAAAAATCACATAATTTTCACTGACGAAGCAACTTTTTGCTTAAACAGAACCGTGGACAGGCAAAATACTAGATTTTGGAGACCAGAAAATCCGCATTGGATGCAAGAAAAACATACACAACGGCCGGAAAAAGTGAATGTTTCGACTGGAATAGTAGGAAATGGCATACAGGGACCTTATTTCTTTGAGGGCGATTTGACAGACGATATTTATTTATATGCTTTTGACGTTAGGTGAATGTCATGGAAGCGCAAGAGCAGCCGCACAACGATACGGTGAAAAGTTCCCCAACAGAAATGTGCCCAATTACAAAACATTTCTTTGCACAGAAAGGCGTTTGCGAGAACGGGGTACGTTAAAAAGGAACAATTTTGAAAGAGGCAGGCGTAGAATAATTAGAAATGTCCTGAATGAGGAAAATATTTTAAATTTAGTTGAAGCTAACGCCACACTTAGTACAAGACGACTATCAGTTCAAAATAACATGTCTCATATGACAGTATGGAGGATAATGAGAGAACAACAATTGTATCCCTATCATTATAGACAGGCCCAAGACATTTTACCACAGGACAGGCCCATGCGCAGACAGTTTTGTCAGTTGGTTTTAGACAGGCAAGCCGAAGATCCGATGTTTCTATCGAATATTATTTTTACCGATGAAGCTACCTTTACCAGAAGCGGTGTTTTTAATATGCGCAATGAACATATGTGGGCCGAAGAAAATCCTAATGCTCGGAAGGTAACCCATTATCAGCATTCATTTAAAATAAATGTTTAGGCTGCCGCATTAGGAAATAATCTATTTGGATATCACATCATGCCTGGAAATTTAACCGGAGCAATGTACCATCAATTTTTGTCTACTAGATTGTATGAATTTTTAGAGGATATTCCTTTGGTAAGACGAGGTTTCTTATGGTACATGCATGACGACGCCCCTCCTCACTTCAACCGTCAATGTCGATAGTGGTTAAACGAGCACTTCCCAAATCGCTGGATTGGCCGAAGAAATGATGCTGCTATAAATTGGCCTCAACTGTCACCAGACCTCAACCCAATGGATTTTAACGCGTGGGGTCAAATGAAACAAAAAGTGTATTTCCAAGCTGTTGATAATGAGGAACAGTTGCATCTGCGTATAGAAAATGCATTTAATGAACTCCATGTGGAGCACAAACTATACCGGAACCTATTTTCTTTGGAAAACAAGTTACGTGCGTGCATTAGGGCAAACGGCGGACATTTTGAAAGTTGAATCTAGTCTGTCTTCTTGACTAGGGCACGTTTTCTGCTAAAGAAATTAAGATATTCGGTTAATTTGTTAAACTAAACTAAATGGTTTAAATCTGTTAAAATGTTACGTAAAAGTTTCAGCCGCTTACAATAGTTTTTAGCTTTTATTTATATCACCATATTTTTATTTGTTACTATTAAGAAAGTTAAAAATACTTGACATTTCTGTTAACTGTCAGACTAGTTGTTTTCCCCATGGCACACTGCAATTAATTTATTTTGCTATGTAATGAAAGTTGAATTTGGAGCACGTTGGGAATGATTGAAATCGATTTTACTGGAAAACGGCACATCCTAGTGAAATTTAACAAGAGGATCTTTTTTATGTTAGATACTTCAAATTTCAATATTTTCGAGTCAGGAACTAGAAAAAATTGACTACAAAAAAGATATGATTAAATTTGTCCCTGGGTCCTGCATTTTCTCACGCCCCTGTAACAAATTTTGAAATGTATTTTATGAGACTTATTAAGCACGTCAAGGTTAATATCTCACCAAAATTTCGTGACTTAATGTCGAGCCGTTTGGATGTTACGCATTAAAAACTGTTTCCGAGGTTACCCCTTTAGGAGAGCGTTGCTCCCTTAGGAGCCGCCATTGACAAAAATTGTACTAAAGTTTTTGTCATTTTTCGACTTGTTTTACAAGCTCAGAAATTTTGAATACTTATTTCAGTTACACCTTGTGTAGTCAATTATACTATAAAATATAGAGTCCTATTAAAAAAAAAGCGGTAATGTCTGTAAAATATGACTCAAAAAAATAGAAAATATTGCAGAAAAGTGACAATTTCTATTTACTAATTGACCTGTTTCGGCGATTTTTGAAAATCTGAACTGGAAGAAAAAATATGAATTTTGTTTCATCATTATGGGATACAGTGTATATCAACATTAAACATGAAATTTTACACGTTTTCTGTAAATAAAGTGTAATTTTACTAAGAAACAGAGAAACTACTACATACATAATACTTTTAAGAAGAAAAATCCATGCTTTTCTATGTATTTACATTTTATCAAGGTAGCACTTTTTTCTGTAGGTAAGTCTCTGAAAATGTATATTTAAAACCTCGTTTTGTAAAGTTAATTTTCATCTTGCCTTCTTCTCCAATCTGTTTAAAAGTGAAATATCGGGTGAAATCGACTGCCGAGATAAAAAATAAGTCATTTAAATCGATATGGAATTGCTATTGTATTGATGGTTGCCACATCGTGTTCCTCGTTAATAAATAGATGCAACTACAATAAAGTTGCATTAAGGTGGAATTATTTTTCATACAACTGTCGGAGGAATCCAAAATTGTACAAACTCGGACTTATTTAAATAATATTTTGTTTTCCAGGCATACAATTCGCAACAAGGGCTATAAATAAATGGAAAGTTGAGCAAATATTATAAAAAGTGCAATGCTTTCCTGCACGCAAATACAATACAAACAAACACATCTCATTTTTTCGATAAAAAAACAATCCGAAGTAAATATACACACAAAGAATTTTTTTCTGAACAATTAAGCATGTGTTGTATACAAAAAAAAGGTGGAAGTAAACTGTCTGTTTTGTATTTTGTAATTTGACTTTAAATTTGTAGTCAGTCACCCTTGAAAGAGATATTCGAACAATTCAAAATTGATCTGATTGATTAGTAGTACTTTCAAACACACTAACGAGTTTTGTGCAAAAAACTCTCAAATATAGCGAAAAACTGTACTTTTAGGTTACACAAGTGATGAAACAATTTTGAGATTGGATTCTGATTCACTCCATCAAAAACTTTCGGAATATTATAGTGTGGTTTCGTCGGCCTGTGTAATCAAAAATTTAGATGATAGTCTCCAAAATCCATTGTCTCCAAACCCATTGTTTATGAAATATTTCTCTAAGAAATGTCATTCAGATTTATTTAAACATAAAGAATGTTGATTTTTGTTGTTTTCACAAGAATCATTTACACTTTTTTCAAAATATTCAAGTCGTGTATCTAGTTTTATGATAATTGCATATTTCAAACTGAAATTACCTTTTATGTACATTTTGCAGCTGGACCCTTTGGCACCGTTGTATCAATGTTGGTGACTGGATTAATATCTTCGAGTTGGTACGGCTGGCCTCTCGTTTTCTATCTATACGGAGTTGCTGGCTTGCTATGGTCCGTCATATTCACCTTCTTCGGATACAACGGCCCATCCTTCCACCCCACGATAACAGAGGAAGAGAAGTTCTACATTGAAAGCAGCCTGGGCCACAGCGACGACAAAAGGGTGAGTATATCGAAACCGAAACTGTTCTACACCCTATTCTGTCTTTATTTGCTGTTTCTAATTTGTGTTTTAGAAGCTGCCCACTCCTTGGAAGAAGATTCTTACGTCGGCACCGGTCTGGGCCATTCTTCTGACCCAGTGCGGTCATAATTGGGGTTTCTGGACCCTCCTGACCGAGATCCCCGTCTACATGAGTCACGTGATGAATTTCAACATTAAATCGGTAAGAACTAGGCAAGAACACGGGTGTAATATGATGTTTTACCAATTTATTTATCTGTTCTAATTTCGCTTCCTCTCTTTTTGTTTTTTTTTAGAACAGCGTGTTATCGGCTCTACCGTACTTTGTGCTATGGGTGCTGAGTTTTGTATTTAGCGTGACTGCCGACATGTTGGTTAATAAGAACTTGTTCTCCATTGGAACTTCCAGGAAGTTTTTCAACACTATAGGTAAGTGCAAAACAACTTTGACCCAGTGACTGTATCTTTGATTTGACTCAATAGGCTTGAAATCGTGAATCCCACAAAATTTTGAATAAATGTCATAACTTCCAAATAAATTCAACTGACTCGAACCAGGTTTTCTTTGATGTTACTCCTTACACTTTTCTTTTCTTGCAGCGGGTTCCTCTTTCTCTTCTGTGTATTCTGATTCGTTTCTCTCTTTAGTGTCCAACAGAAATCTGCCATCACGTTGATATCCCACCTTCCTTGGTACAGATTCTCCATTTCACTTATATCTTGATGAAATCTTTCTCCTTGTTCTTCACTGTAGTCTCCAAGGTTTTGAGGAAAGTAGTCAAGGTGATAGTTAAGAAGTGCAATTTAAGATTCATGAAGCAACCTAACTGTTCGAAATTTTTCAACATCTCTTCAACCGAGAGATATTCTTGAAGCTTTGCCTTGCTGCTTTTTCAGTGTCATTTGTCCTTGTCATGAAATTTTCGTTTCGAAAAGAGTACGAATTTGAGGACCTTCTTTCAATTTCGCATCACTTATCGCTGGAAACTTCTCTCATAAAAATATTGAAAACAGTTTCCGTCTTTGGAGAATCGATACTAAGGAAAGATGGGCCATCAACATGATGGCAGATTTCTGTTGGACACTAAAGAGAGAAATGAATTAGAATACGCAGAACAGAAAGAGAAACTCACTGCAGGAGAAAAGAGTTCACTACAAAAGAAGAAAAGTGTAAGACCACCATCAAAGAGAGTCTTGTCCGAGTTTAATCATTTTTCAATGATTGGACTTCAAAATGTCAGCACTGATCACAGTTTTGGTGTGAAATTTTTTAACAAATACCACTTAGTCCAGGAAATTTTTCTTGGTCGTGAAAATATTCAGGAAACTAAGCAATACTTGGCAACATAGAATCAAAATAATTATTAATTTCAGGTCTTGTGGTACCGGCTATAGCCTTAGTATGCCTGGGCAACACAGGGTCTGAAGAAACGAACAAAGCGATCGTCCTCCTGGTGGTGGCAGTTGGTATCAACTCTGCGGTGTTCTGCGGCTTCAACGTCAACCACATGGACATTTCCCCGAATTTCACCGGCACCCTGATGGGTATCACCAATGGTACTTCGAACATTTTCGGCATCGTCGCTCCCCTGTTGGTTCAGTTTTTGGTGACCGACGAAGTAAGTACTTACTTTTTCCAGTTTTTTTATCTAGTTCTCACGGAAGTGCGTTGTTTACAAAGGTTGCTGATAACGTCTCGTTCGATTGGTTTAGATGTCTAATTTTTTTTATTATCTTCAAGTGCTTGGCGCTTATCGATCGACATTTATATGAATATTAATCGAGGTGATAAAATCCAATAAATAAAAACAGGCACCTTGAAACGAGTGCGAGTATACTGTGTTAGAAATTGGATTGCCATTATTTCAGTAAAAGATACGTTAAACGTTAATGATAAAAAAATATACATGACATTGGCGTAATATTAACTGTTTTTAAAAACTTGGCAACGGTGCAAGTTGTGGCGATATCCTTTTTTATAGTGAATGACAGAAAGTCAAAAAATTATCGTGGAAATTGATAAATTTTGAAAATTAAAAAATTAGAACAAAGAGGACAAATATAACATTTAAAACAAAAACATGACTTAATTAAATATGAATCTGAAAAAATATGTGATAAAATCATCTAAATCTCACGTCGCACAAATAATTGTAAGATTCGATCGGTACGAAACGCTTTTTTCTATAAACCTGCGCGCGCGTCATGTATAAATGGTATCTACCAATATGAATCATAGAAGAACGGAGTTGCTAAAAATAATAATTATCAGTAAAATAATTTAGATACTAATGAAATATAAAAATACAGTCATTATTATATGCACAACACTTCGAGTGCTAGTTTTCTTTCGGGAATATCAAAAATATGTTCTTCCATGTTCACATCCACCTAGTCTGTTTAGGCCATGATTTCTAGGGCGAGGAGCAACACTACCAGTATCAAGAACGCACAAGTACAAGGTAAACTATAACGTGTATTCAAAAGCTACAATCGCTGAAACTAAACAAACTAATTCAAAGAAGTGATAAATAATGCACTTTATAATTCTGTGAACAAAATTATGTCAATTAACTGAACCTTCATATATATTTTGGTATTTCTTTTTCTCGGAAATGGAGGTTTAGGATCTATGTCGTATATTTTTTTTGTTTTGATGTATATTTTCGCTTATTAAAATTATGACAGTCAGTCTTCAAACACGCTATATGTATTTTTAAGAGAAATTAAAAAAAATATTTGAGAATAGTTTTAAGAGCAATAAAAATGTTTGAAATAGAACATATGCGAATGTAGGGATTTGTTTTTTACTTTCTGAAAAAGATTTTAATAAAATAACAAGTATAAACACTACGAAAAAGTTATAACATTTTTTTGCTACAGCAACACTTCTATTCTCTAAAAACATTTAAACAAGTTTATATACGAAGCAAAATGGAATAAATACTTAAAAAAATAGATTCCTCATATTTTCGTATACATGTTTCCAAGAAAACGCGATAGATATGCACTTATGCTTACAAATTGAACGCATTTACATTGTTTTTGTATTAATTTCTTTGTTATCTATTTATCTTTGCTAATTGTGCAGATATCAGCAAAACAATTTTGGAATTTTGCAAACTCTAAAACATCGATATTTACCTACTATTTACGTTTGGTGTTAGATAAATTAATATAATGTTAAGGACATTTATAGTTTGCGGCTCCAGATTTTGCACGTTTATTATCTATCCTTCTCTATCATTTTTTTTATGTATCTTGAAATCATTAATATAATCCTTCAAAGAAAAATGGTTTATTGTTGTTCTTACATCACCTTTGTCAAAAATCATTCATTACTCTTAACAAAGAATCAAAGATAATATTTGGTCGTATCTGAAACTGTAATGTCAGCTACTGTTTTCTTACGATTTGATAATTTATGTAAAATTAAAGTCCTTTCAAATATAAAATACGCACCTATTTACTTTGCAGAAAGATCCAAATCAGTGGAAAGTCATATTCTACATGACGTCTTCCATTTACGTCCTAGCCAGCGTGATTTTCATCATATTTGGCTCGGGAGAAGTCCAGTCCTGGAACGATGAAGAAAATAATAAAGGTAAAGCATAGATACAGCTTTTCTTCTTCTGGCTTGGGTGGCCTCGGCTACTAAGGCAGGCCAGCCACGTTAAATTTTTCTCCACTGAAACCTGAAACGCAATTTTATTTTCAGACAAAGAAAAATCTCAAGCTTAAGCTGTAATGGATGTGAGTGTTAATTAATCCTGCTGTGATACTTATATTTATGAAGTACTGTGATCTGTCGTATTTTATCTAGATATACAAGTTAAAAGATGAGATTGCTAAACTTGCAACAGAGATGTATTTATACAAGTCATCGTTAATTGTTGTTTGTAAGACATTTATTACAAATGTAGAGGAAAAATAGAGGAATTATTGTGTAGCTAAGAACGTTTTTGAAATGTTAATATTTTAATATTTATAAAGCTCTGGGAGCCTTTAATTTATTAGATACTTGTTACGTATCTTATTTATAATACAAATTGATCTGTAAGTTATACAAATTGTACCTATATTGTTCATTAATCTAAAAAGTACAATAAAATAATTAGAAAGGAATTGAATTTTCTTTCATTGACTGTGTACAACAATTTTACTTCCAGCTGAAATGGCATCAATGGTAAACAAAAATCACTGAAAATTTGCTGATGTCAATGTGAGGTAATTCATTTGTTAACACTTATAACGAGCGTTCAAATAAAAACGTGGTCAAGTTGGTTATGAAAATTTGGACGTAGGGCGTAGCGTATAGCAAATGAAACGTCATCCGTCAAAGAGCTATATCGCCGCTATCAATTTGAATATTTTCGTTTTAAAAAACGTTTAAAATGGTGTTTTCTCAAGAACAAAAAGTGTTTATCATAGAGTCCTACTTTAGAAATGGACGCAAGATTGATGGAATATGAAAGTATTCTATTGAGGAATGTTTCATAGAATTTCAAAATCAATTTCCCGGCGTTGTTGAGTACAAAATTTTTCAAAGTGCAGTTCAGCGTTGTGTTTAATGTTTTTCGTGAAACGGGCAGTGTAACAAGAAAAGAAGGAAGCGGCCGACCTAAAAAGCGGACTGAAGAATTAAAAGAAAATGTCCAACAAATAATGGAAAATGCGCCAAGAACTTCTGTACGTGTTTTATCACAAATGGTGGGAGTATCAGTCGGTACCTGCCACACAGTGTTAAAAAAAGATTTGCGTTTGTTCTCCTATCGTTTAACTTGTCAGCAAGAACTTCATGAAGTTGATTTTCCGCGACGGGCTGTATTTTGTGAATGGTTTTTAAACAACTACGGTGAACTTCATAATATCACCTTTTTTTCTGATGAAGCCTGGTTTCATTTAAGTGGTTACGTAAACTCACAGAACATGAGAATGTGGTCTTCTGAAAAACTAGATAACTTTTTTGTCGAGGGCCCTCTACACGCAGGATTTATGGACCTATTTTTTTTAATGGTACTCTTACTGCGCAAAGGTATAGAGAAGAAATTATCGCTCCTTTTGTTAACCAGCTGGAAGAAAACGAAATTACAAACTTTTACTTTCAACAAGATGGCGCAAGGGCACATACGGCAGGCGAGACGATGACTATGTTGAGGGAAGTTTTCCAAAATCGACTAATAAGTCTCAATGCTGAACATGAATTTCCACCGAGGTCATGTGATATTACGCCGTGTGATTTCTTTTTGTGGCCTTACCTTAAAAACACTATTTTTGAACTGCCTATTCCTGATTTAAACCATCTGCAGGCTCGACTTATAGACAAGATTCGTGAAATTAACAATACCCTGAGCATCTTAGAAAATGTCTTTAATTCTTTGAGGAACAGGTGTGAAAAGTGCTTGGAACAGGGGGACACTTTCAGCAGCTGCTTTAATTTATTGTTATAACAAGGAGGGGGACACTTTCCGCAGCTCCTTTAATTGTTTGTTATTGTTATCACGATTATTCTTTAAAATAAAGTTATATAGTCATTAACGTTATTGAAACTGACAGCTGCTATACAGCTCGTTGAGAAATGAGGTTAAGTTGGTCGCTATAAGCTACTCCCTACGTCCAATGTGTCAGCCAACTTCGACCACGTTTTTATTTGAACGCTCGTTATATGTATATATCTTATCAAAAGGTATGTATAAAGGATTCAAATTATCTTGTACTTTGTCAGTTGCGTGATCTATCATCTTTGTTAGATATACAGGGTGAACTATAATTAGGTGTAAAAAATTAACCAAAGCTTTCTCAAATCAAGACAAAAGAGTAAAAAAGTAAAAAATAGTTCAGGGGTTGAATTTTTCCAATGAAGATTACATAATTTTCATTCAAATAAGACTTAGAATGGTATGAATAAATTTCTTAATTCTGTGTAAATTTTGATAATGTTTCTACTGATTTTTCATATCCTTCACTTTATCCGGTGTAAATATTTTTTCCGCAGTTTTGAATTATTTATTTATTTAAATTATTTATTTAGAAACATTAATATTAATATTACAACGCGAAACAGTTACTTATGTTAATTCCCTGAGAAGTAATTGTGGAGGTATTCAGTTTAACTGCGATACTATCGTTCGCGATTTTCGACTGTAACTTTTTTTCTGACAGTACTAAAGAGAAATGGTAAAATACTCTTTTGTACGATCTACAAAACGACGTCTCGAGCGTCAGAAAATATCAATCCGGTCAAAAGTTCCTTGCAAAAAAACGCCAATTATGCCCATGTTAAATAAACAATAATAAATCGCGATGTTATCACAGAGGCTTCTGCGGATAACACTCGATCATTCCTCGCTGCAGACAAATAATTTATGCGAAAGTCGGAATCCGTAACTGGATTATTTCGCGAGTTATAGCCTTAATAAGATTTATTTTGCACGCAATTTTGCATTAAACGCAATAAATATCAGTTTTTATACATGTCTCACAAATCACCTATTCTTCAGCAGTTATCTTCCCAATTTTTTTATTGTTAAAAGTGATGTTATTTTGTTCGTGGTATCATAAATAACTATTTACCCTAGATGTAAAAGACTTGTATGTTCTGTAGACAAAAAAATATTGGGGTTTCCTAAAATGTCAACATTTTCTGACAGTTCCCGAAAAAATTCACTATAATTTTTTTTCGTTTGTTCTGTCGCTCAAAACGTGATGCAGGTGGAAGTCTATTCGGTTTATTCACCTTTTCAAATCGTGATCCGAATCCAATCAAACACTGATTACAAAAATAAGCATATTGTCGCTTCTGTGTTGACCCAAAGAGGGCAAGGTTCATCAACCAAGAATGTCTTTCTTATTTATAGACCGTGGTCGTCATATATGTAAAATATTTATTATTTTATATGTCGAGTAGTTTTGTAACGGACATGTGGAATATTTAGTCTATGTTTTCTTATCCGGCTAGAGGTCCTATAGAGGATTACTAGTGAAAAAGTGAAAAATAAGTGAATATATAGAAACAGTTCAACAAGGTATGTGAGCGTATTATATTTTTTAATTTTTTGGGTAATAACAAGTTATAATTGAAAACTATTTGCACAATGCTAAGAAAGTAGGTTATTGTGTCAGTTTTGCTGTCGATTGATCGATTGCCTTGATCCGCAGTAGTGGATTGTTATGATTAGATGTTACATGAAGATTTGTTATCTTGTAATACGATCAGGTAAATCTGTGACAAGGTTCGAAGAAAACAAACGCAAAGAGAAACTATACAGGATGGTACATATAAATGTGTCGACACTGTAAAAAGTTATTCATGCCCGGCCATGATTTTTACATGTTAATAGTAAATTCACTGTAGTCCTCAATTTTCTTTAATAAAATTTAGTCGTTTGATAAATATATTTTTCGTAGTAATGAATATTACATTTGCAAAGTTTCTATCATTTTGGATATTGTTAGGATCTAGGTAATTTTAACTATAAATTTTCGTGATAAATTCTAGTTAAAGGAAGTAAGTTATTAGCCATATTTTTTTGAAAAACTGCGAATAAAAAAGTTATTATCGATTTTCTAGTCTTTAACGGCAATTAAGACCATTTGATGGTCCATATGTGCAGTTTATTACTTGCAAGAATTGAACCAAATTTGCAAAAAATTCGTTCAAGTGAAAACAATTGTCTTGAAATTTACTAAATGTCACACAATAATAGTCGTTTACATTTTTTCCGTCGGACAAGTCTGCCGCGTGCATACGTCGTGTGGATCAGCTGTGTAGCGTTGTTGTCACTTAGCGATGAAACTCCCCAATATTAATACTCGCTGTATTTTGAAAACTGTTAATCTTACGCCCCTATAATATACAACCTTTTTGTTCGTTTATGATTACTCTATCCCATGCTGAAGTAATTGCAGTCATACTACTTACACACTCTAGATAAGGAACACTTAACAAAAGCGAATAAAGCTATCTACTAAATATCTATAATATGTATAATATGTTCTAAATATCAGCTTTTGATGAGAATTGTAGCTAACAATGCTGCATATTTTTTTCCCCACATTGTTCTGCATTTCTATTCATTAAAATAACAATTAGTATAGTATAACTATTTCCATTTTATAATAAAAAATGTGTCTTTAACTCGTGTTTCTTATGTTTCATAGAAATCATAAAAAACGAGGAGCTAAAAGTAAGAAAACAAACCCATATCTCAAAGTAGGAGAAACAGAAATAATCATTGTGTAATATGAAGTAAAACAAAAAAAATGTAACTACAAAAATAGCGTAATATTACAGAATAGACCGCAACTATCAACCTTAAATTAAGATGACTTAAGTGTCGTGTTTAAAAAAATGGTATAATTTTGGATAAAATTACTTTAAATTAATAACGTAATATACAGGGTGTCCCAAAAAAACTCCAGAGTTGAATCATATAAAAAAGTCTCAATTATCAAGAAACCAATATGCTGGTGGCCTTGGAATTTACCCTGACATTAAATTTAAAGGTCAAAATAAGGTCAATTTGAAAACATGAAATCTCATTTTTCTCTGAATAACTTGACAAAAATTGAGCAATATTTACACGATTTTGAACGACAAATCAGATATTCGATATTTCTGTTTGAAATTTCCTTCTATGTAGCAAATTTCACGAACCTGTTGTAAATTTTCTCTAATTTAGAAATATTTCACAATTAATGTAACCAACGATATTTCATATAGACAGAGAAAGAGGAAGAAAGTAGTGATATTTTATTTGGAAAAGTGTTTTTTATTTTTATCCCAAATCTGTTAACATTTAAAACTTATTTTACTGGTTGTGTATTGCTAGACTAAACACCCTGTATGTCGTTCCAATTGTCGCTCAAAGAAGCCGGAAAACTTCGTGTAGTTCAATGTACTTCATACGACAAAAGATAAGCTCTTTGAACAAATAATACCAGACAAAAGTTACCAGCTTAATAAATAAATTGGCCAAATATTTTTCTTATTCAAGCCATGTATTGTTAGAGTGAACTGTGGACTGAGCTAACAATATAAACGTGTTCTGGTAAAATATTCAATAATCATTTTAAAGTACCGGCATTTTTATATCGATAAAATTAATTATTCCAATGATACAGGCTAATTTGTTGACGAACCCTTATCGCCTTGCTCATTGAATAGGTACGGACGATAAATATTTTTAGTTAGTTTCAAGATCACCTCTTTTAAAAATCAAACATCGAGATTAGACAAGTACTCGTAGTTGAGCACGATAAGATACCGTTTATAAAACTCATCGGCGCATTTTTTCCAACCAGTTGTCAAAGACGTTGAGATCGACTTGTCCAGACTTTGGAAAATGTCCACCTGACAGGTAAGAGATATTCTTGAAGAATCGTTCCCGAACACGTACAAGTTATGTCCGATCCAGAAAAGGCCGTGAAAACTGAGACAAATAAAGAAGTGGAAAAGCCTGGTAAGTCATTTTACCGTAATGCGTAATTTTAAATTATAAAAAATTATCTAATTAACGTGTTTTTGAATTTAAATATGCCCTTTTTAATGTTTTCAGAAGGAATTTTTGGGATTCGCCACAGGCAGTATGCTCTGCTCTTCACTGTAAACCTTCTAGCCTACAGCATAAGAAACGTTTTGAATGTAGCCGTAATAGCTATGATAAGTGAGAATCCTCCGGATGAAAGTGTGCCGGTAAGTCAAAGAAATGTTTTTGCTAAGTTGATTTAACGATTTTATTGATATTTTTTTTTATCGCCAAACGTTACTGTAAAAATCAAGGATTTTACCCGACGCAAATAGTTATCAACATAGCCATGACTGTATGACATTAATCAGAAATCGTTTGTCGCTCACACGGAATTAAAAAATATAGTGAAAATGTTTTACTGGCCTATTTTTCCGAGTTATCGAAAGAGTATTCTCCTTCTTCAATGATTCTCCTTCTTCAATGTAGTCGTATTATTCCATGGTGAAAGCAAAGGTTTCAGCAAAAAATGACGTTGACATTAGTATATAAAAAAACTTAGGGTTTTTTTTTAAACAAAGAGGAAGAAATCATATTCCAAAAAAGTCCAAAACTCTTTCACAAGATTAAATACTTAAATTTTTACTAAATGCACCGGATAAAATGTACTTGATGATGAGGATAATTTATGCTATTTTTTCAAAAATAATTTTATTGTATCAAAGGTAAGTGCATAAACTTATATACTGTTCATCAAAGATCAAAAACAAATTTATCTAAATATTCTAAAATTGTTTAAACAACAATTATTTTCAAAATATGTCGAAAATTAGTTATTAATTAATTAATTATTAATTTAATCATCATTTCTTCAGTGATTAAAGTATAATTCAAATATTATTTACTGTTTAAAATATAAGCAAATGAGAAATTAACTCATTATATTACAAAAATACAAAATTATAGTACAAAAATTCGAAACAAGCGCCAGAGCTCTCCTAATTGACGGGTTCGAATTTTTCAAAAAGCATTTGAAAGCTTGAGAGCCCTTCTATATGTGATTAAATTTTCAAGTATCTAAGGGCCTTGGTTTTTGCTGTGCAAAATTTTGAAAATTTGCAATTTTTTTTTCAAAATTTGGATTGCAAAATTATTATGCAACATCTATGGAACCGATTTTGATGAAATTTGGTGTGATGATTCTACATAATATGAAGATTTCTTGAGCCAAGTATGAAGGTCCTATACCCAATTTCAAGACCCCAAAGAAATTCCCTAAAAAGTAATGTTTTTTAACCCCATTTTTGGCGATTTCTTCGATTTTTAAAATAATAATCATGATTCATTCGATCTGTAATTGGTCATATTTTGTAAAATTTAATTCCAAACATTTTTTTCCTCTTACATTTCCGCATAAAATCAACTCTTGAAAAGATACATAATTAAATAGGAAGAAAAAATATTACATTTTTAGAATTTTTTTAACATATTGTGCCCCCAAAAGTTAAGCCCACGTTTTTTATGCGCATAGAAAAATTTTCATTTCTAGTGATATTTTAAAGCCAAAAAAACAAAAATCTCCGTCGATATACGATTCACCCAATCCAAAACAGATGCCGCTTAGTCTATTAATAGTAATTTAACAAAAAATAAGTAGATTTATTTTCTATTTGTTGTAATTTTTCTGTATACTTTGTCATAATGAAATGTGATAAGTTATAATATCTCCATTTTTTTTTTAATTATAAATTTTTACGGTTGGCGATAAATTTTGTATGCACCATGTCAGTAAAGTGTCTTTATCTAACTCGCTTGTTACTCGCTTCGCTCGCTCTGGGCTCATAATATCAGGCTCGTTCAATAAGGAATCACTTTAGTGACTTAGTTCATAAATAACCAGTATTTCGTGAAATATTCTGCAACTAATCCGCTCTTCTAGATTGATCCTTGCGTTGCTTTAGCACAACAATATTTTTGTTTAAAAATGATTCATATTTAGCAACAATTTGTATGATAAAATGTCAGGAAGGTCAATGATTACTATGTTTGTCCCATATTCGCTTCCAAGAACAAAACTGTAGTAAACAATATTCGGAACAGGAAGTCTTCAACACGGAAAATTAAAAAAAAACATTTTTGTATTTTCCAGACCTATCCGGAATGGTCAGACAAGAAAAACATAATGCTCTCATCGTTCTTCTGGGGATATATTTGCCTGCAGATAGCAGCTGGTCAGATAGCCAAGAACTACGGACCTAAACTGTTCCTCACCGGGGCTGTTTTCGTGTGTTCTATGTTTTCTGTACTAATACCCTTATTCGGAGAAAGATTCGGGTACGAGGGCATCATCCTGTGCAGGATAATCCAAGGACTGTCCCAGGGATTCATTTATCCTTCCGTGCATAACTTGCTCAGCGCCTGGGTGCCTCTGGTCAACAGGGCCAAAGTGGCGAGTTTTATATACGCAGGTAATTCTGATGATTACAGTTTTTTATGGAGTACACGCGGGAGGAGTGCCGGGACCGCGCCCGCTCGTGGATGCCGGCCCGTGCGAGATTTTTGAAACGTTCAAGTCAAAAAGACGAGAGCGGCGTTCACGCGCCTGCGAGGGCCTGGCGCTCCTTCTCCCGCATACAGGCCGTTCATTAAGACTAACTTTTACTGCTGCTAGCGCGTTTATTAGATGAACATTTTGAAAATAAAAGTTTAACCCTTTCTTTAATTATCTCTAATATCTCGGTCTGATACGTCCAATAGTTAATTAACAATTAACGTTATAAAAAAAGCGTAGATGATTTCCCATATTTTAGATTACCATAGAAATAAGCTCTGTTTAATACAAAAGAACGAATTCCCGAGCGGCTTTTGCCTGATCTTGGGATAATTTGTTTATAACGCTGTTTTGCGCGTCCTACTTTCTTGATTGTAAAGGGCTACTTGATTTCACCTTTTTGAAAAAATATTTTGATTTTGCTCGAGTTATATCGTACGTTGCCACATACCTGAAGAAAATCAGAGATACAAAAGAAGACTAATAAATAAAAACATGTAATAAAGAAGAGGAGAAACATGTGAACAAATCACATTTTGAAACTGTTTTTTATACAGTTATAGCATTAATTATCTCCGGGTAGCTTTCAAGATAAAAATCTAAAAAATACTTGTTACAACACGGTATCAGATTTTGATTTTAATTTTTCTTTGTATCAATAAGCTGATAATATCAAGTTTCAACGAGATGTTTTGATGTGTACATATGTGATCTTAGATATCAGGATACTAATACGTGATAGTTCCGCATTTCTCAATATTACATAACCCTATATATACTTATGCCCATAAAAAATATAATCGTCTTTTTGCTTATCTTTGTCCACGAAGAAATGAATAGGACTAGCTTCTTCCCCTCTACTAGCCTTGTTCCTAGGATAGTCCAAATAATTTCCGCATTCCGATATAATGCGTCATGGTTTCCAGTCAAATGTAATCGCTTTTGACTGTAGAAAACCGTTTCTACTGCACTAGGAGCAAAGCTAATCACTTCAACGTACTTACAGCGACTTGTAACTGTTACAGGATCTCCCTTGGGCACAGTCATCGCGTTGCCCATAGCCGGTTTTCTCTGCAGCACCAGCTGGGGTTGGCCCTACTGCTACTATCTTTTCGGTGGAGCGGGTATACTCTGGTGCATAATTTGGTATTTCGTCGGATCCGACAGTCCCCAGAAACATTCCAAAATATCGGAAAAAGAGATTTCCTATATCCACCACGGGACTAACGACGAGGACAGAGAGGTGAGAAAACCCTACACCTTTTTTTAATTCTAGAAATAAACTGTTTGGATTTCAGAACGTTCCGACGCCATGGAAGCACATTTTGAAATCGCTGCCATTCTGGGCCATCCTGGTAGCGAATTCTGGTAACATCTGGGGCTACTGGACTTTGCTGACCGAAATTTCTACCTATATGGAGAAGGTTTTAGGTTTTAATATAGCTTCGGTAAGAATTTGTATATCCTACAACTGCTACAAGACTTGTGTCTTCCAGTCAGTTTGAAAAATTAATTCCTTGCGTTCTTCCACAGAATAGTGCACTATCTTCCCTTCCGTACTTAACGTACTGGCTGTTGAGTATAGCCATGGGACATATAGCCGACTATTTAGTAGTAAAGAAGATAACTTCGATTAAAATAAGTAGGAAAATTTTCAACTCGATAGGTAAGCTATTTTCAATGGAAAGGTGGTCGAAAATACCAACTTAAAATCATCATTTTAGGATTATTTGTGCCCGCTTTGGCTCTGACCAGTCTCGTCTTCGTCGGGCCTACCGAGAAATACCTTACTATAGTATTGCTGGTGACGGCGGTTGGATTCAACGCTGCTACACTATCTGGGTTCAACGTGAACCACATAGACATAGCTCCTGTACACGCTGGGACTCTTTATGGCCTGGCTAATACTGTGGCTACGCTGTGCGCTATTTTGGCCCCGCTGACCGTCGACGCCATAGCCTACATCACGGGGTACCAGGAGGTAAGCGATTCTTGCGCGTATTTCTTTAACGTCTTCTTTTTTGGCACAAGGAATTGATTCTATTGCCAAAATAGTACGCAGGGATTTATTCTTGCACATGCGACACTTGCGACTGGAAAGGCGTGGGGGAATGCGATTCCATGGGCGTATCAGTTTAGAAGGTGCCAAAAACTGTATAGATTCGATTTCGGTAAAAATTAGATGTGAAAATAATAAGTCTTTCATGCTGGCACGCCTATGACACACCTCAGTCGTCTCTCTTTTTGTGCGTGATGAACAAAGATAGAAATAGACGAAGTGCGCATGCGCAAGGCAAATATATTATCTGAACACTATGCGAAATGAACGGCACATTATAATTTCCATGAAAAGAACCCACAAACTTATTTTATGAGATTAAGACGTAGTAAAAAACTGTGTTTAATTTATTTATGCTTCTATTTTGGCAATGAAGTGTAGAAGGAACATGTTTTGGCATACAATACTATAACGTTTAAAGTTTATTGGAAAAAAACTATTAATCGTTCAAAAACTACTTGAAAAAAATTATTAGTAGACATTTTATTGTACGTTATGACGGGGAAGAGTATGTAGAATGATAATATCAAAAAAGTAATTCAAAAGAAGTGACGCTAAATTGGGAAACTGCAAATAACTGGCAATTTTTTTTCACTTTTTTTACTGCCCATGAAAATCTAGACGACCTATCGGAATGTCAGTTATTTTGTATTGTAGGCAATTAAATTACCAACAATTAAAGGCACCTAGAGTCATTTTTCACTAATTTGTTAACTGTAAAATAAAGATCAAGCGCGGAAATAGCAGTTTTAGAAAATTGCGCCTTATTATTGCAAAAAGCGATGGATGTTGATGAAACTTATGGAAAAGACTGTCAATCCAATGACCAACAAGTGTGTCAAATGCCGATTCAATTGACCGTGAAATTGTCGCTCCAACTATTTGTTAATTAATTTCGTTTGATTTTTTGTAACTAATTATTTAATTAATTTTAGGAAAAAGAAAAATATCAGGAAGTTGAAATTAAGCTGCCCCATTTCAACTAATACGTGCAAAACAGCGTTATAAGCAAATTGTTCCTGGGTCAGGCAAAAGCCGCTCGGGAATTCGCTCTTTTTGTATTAAATAGAGCTTATTTCTACGGTAATTTAAAAAGAGAGAAATCACCTACGCCACTTTGTTCCCAAGATAATTCTTTTTATATAATGTTAATTCATTATTTTATATTATTATTAATTATTTCACTGGCTTGTAATATTTAATAAGCCATATTAACAGTTTCCTCATAACTACACACTTGTTATATCGATCTAATTTGATTAACGTACTTATTTATGCCACTACGTACGTACTCAATGTCACAAACTAGCCATTGTTTTTGTTTGCACTTGTCAAGAAATGTTTAATATAATCACATCAGGCACTGCTAACATATGGCGTAATTTGTTTATTGGATTAATAAGAGAGGAAATGTTTATTATTTGCTAATTACATGTATTTACAGACCGATAAGGCGCTGTGGAACATAGTTTTTGTCGTAGCAGCGGGGATATACGCCGTATCTGGCCTATTCTTTGACGTAGGAGCATCGGGGAAGATTCAGCATTGGAACAATTTGAACGTAAACAGAGAACAACCGATGAAAATGACTGTGATTGAGAATAGCAAGTGATCTAACAGACTGATTTAGTAGGATTAGTTATTTATTGATACATTTTTGTACTGCCAAATAGTTTTTTAAAATAAATTGTAGGTATTAAATTCACGAGTTTCTCTTTTTATTCACTTTTGGGTGTGTTGGAGGTAGAAACATAATATATCCAAGTTCACTGTTAAAAAAATCAAAGTTAAATCTTCCAATTTTAATATCTACTAATTATGTCATTCATTAAAATGTCTCAAAATTAATTAAGTACCGATAAATCATCGAAGCACTTCTGAATTACAATGTTATCAAGGTTACAAACCCGATATCTTCAAAATGTACAGGAGAAATCAATTAAAGTTTAATTTTCTAAGGAAACGTCGAGTCGTAGTGAAAAATCTACGTTAAAATATTTAGAAATGCATAATTATGAAAAAAAAACGCAAAAATGCACCGCCACGGCAAAAAATGAAATAATTTTTACACAAATTTTTTATATTCTATAAATTTTCAATTGCAACTGAAAAAAATATTTATTTTATCTACAGAAGGTAAGTGACAATGTGTAAAAAATAACTAAAATACATAAAAAAAAACGAAATTATTTTTTTCATTGAAAAAAATTAACGAAAATAAAATATCTTAAGATATGGGGCATTCTGTGATAAATTTAAATTTTCCTCATTTTTTGGCATTATTTAGTACCCATTTAGAGTAGCTTTCATGATTATTTTCAAACAAGGCCAAAAAAAAATCTGCAAAATTAAAAATGGTCTGGTCACTACTTCAGTGATTTAGCATGGAATGCCTCACATGTATTAAAAGCTTTTACATTTTCTTCTACGAGTATTTAGAACTAAGTTAAATTTTACCAAATAATTTTACTTTCATCATCAAAAAATCGCCGCCTGACGGCATAAAAAATTAACAATTCCTTTTAAGCTGTTTTGCTTTTATATACTGGGTGTTACCTAACGAATGTTACATACTTCATGGGTATAATCTAGAACCAAAATGGTGTCAATTTAACCAAACTTGCTTAAACGAAAAATGTCGCAAAAAAAGTTGTTTCTTTTTATTTCTTGTTTTCTCCTTAAAATTTGCTGTTGCTTAGTTTCTCTTCTTGAGGTATGCAGTGATTATGTTCCTATTAGGTTCAATCATACAGGACGTTCATTTTACTACAACCCATTGTGAATATTATTCTGTAATTTTTTTGTACGTTTAAATTTTTTCACGCAACTATCAGAAATAGGTGGAGAATTTTATTCTACACAAAAAATTTATACCTATTACCTATCAAAAGTCGAAATTATGCTCGGTTATTACAGAAAATATTTATTAGCATATGATAATAATATAATAATATCTCTACTCCTCATTCTAACTACGAGAATTAGCCCAGAAATCGGAGACTTGTGCGGGAGAGGAGGCGGCATATTATTATTGCGCCCAGGAACGACTTATGTTGGTAGGCCCTAACCACAATTCAGTGCAGGAATGAGGGAAACCTGGAAAACCTCATTAATTAGGGGGGTGGTCAAATGCGAACCGGTGTCAATCTCTCACATTGACCCAAGCCAACATTCTTCCACCCTACCATACCTGCACAGAGGGTGCCAGTCCTCCGTACAAGCATAGCTAATCTACGGACTACCGGCCGCGGGATTCGAAACCCGGGCCGATCGACACATCGATTTAAGTACTGACGCCTTAAACCGTGCGGCTATCGACCGATTACCGATATACTCCATATTTTTTGGAAATAACTACGTATTCATAATAAAGAAAAGAAAAAAATGTAGATAGTTATTGTCGTCAATAAATAACACTTACGCGGTTTGCCTTGACCCTTGACTGATAATATATTATCAATGTTACTGATCTACAAAGTTTACGTTAGTGGAATTCGATTGAAAACGAAATTGAATTGATCTTATAAAAGCTTGAGTGTTATACTTGATATGAAAGCTGGAGATGTATGCCTACTTAAAATCGATAGTATTCCTCCTGTTCACACGGCACCAAATGGTATGATAATGTAGTAAAATTAAACGAAACTGAGAATCCATCGTCTGAATCACAGCATATCTAAACCAGCAGTTGTCGGCACTTTGATATCATTCAACCTTTATAAAAGTTTATTCAACAATATTTACAATAAGTTTTGTTTGTCCACATTGATGTTAAATGCACTGTATCCCTCATTCTTGGAGCAAGTCTCAATACAGTCCAACACGTTTTCATCACCACTATCAATTTTCATTATTCTTTTCGTGATATTTTCTTTTTCAAAAGTAACTTTAATGTAGCCTTCCCCCACAATAGCTGCTATCTGTTCGCCGTTTACAAAAGTTTCAACGTCAATCTTACACTGAAAGAAAATGGGCTTATTAAACTGTTTATCTAGAATAATGTGTATAGCGCATATTAAAACTTTTATAACCAATATATACGACTTTTATTAAAAAAAAAGCAATCATCTCCATACTCATTATAGAATGAGTTTAACTGGAAAGTACACCTTATGCATCTATGAAATAAAGGTTATAATGAATTACTTATACATTATTAGGTGTTATAGACTTTATGTTCCAATTGTATAGTAGGGAAGATTTGTTGTATAAAGATCAGTATCGGAATTTGTATATAACAATTATATTAACAGAATTATTCGTTCTTATACTGAATATATTTCCGTTTTTAACGTGTAAAACGCGTCTTATAATGGTTAAGTGATCGTCACCTCTCCGTGCATAATCGGTTATGATCGTAAAATTTCCGACAGTCCGCTGTGCATCGACTTACGAATATTACACGTCTAGTTTGATGAAAATAGACGGTATAGGCACATGTTTTGTGGGATCATATCGCGTTGTGTGAAATGGAAAATTATGTAAGTATCTAATTGTTTTATGGCTTGTAATTGTTTTGCTTTTCAAATGTAAATCTTGTCTAAATCTTAAAAATTATTATCTTGTAGGTATGCCCTATTAGAAACCGCTGATGGAAGTTTTACATAAGATGGAGGAACAGAACGCTAGCGGTGACAAAGAGGAGCATGGGTATAAAGTCAATCAACCAGGGGGAATAGAATTAGAAGGAAAGATGTTCAACCTTTCTGGGGATGCTTCATTCTTAAGGTGGAAGAGTTATAGTGCAAATTCTCATGTAATACAAGAAAATACGGGTGCATCGTTACTAAGAAAATAACCTGGACAATTTTGGGAGCGATTTGTCATCATTTTTAATGCTTAAAAGTATGTTTTGTGCATGTTTACATTAGAACCTCAGCTTGTAATTACAGTTATCCAATAAAATTTCTGAAAACTTAGTAATATATTTTTAACTTATACAGAGGATACAACAGTTTAATACATCTATTATTATAGAACTTATAACCAGTACTAGATGTTCTAATAACGATATGGAACACTTTAATAACAGTTATTGCTATTATTTCGTAAAGGGTATAAAAAACGTTGTATATTAGTTATACAATAATAAATAATAATAAAGAATAAGGTTTATAGTCACTATACAACTGTGCTAGCAGTACGCGTTTTATATCCAATATTCACCTGTTTAACTGTCACATATAGTATACAATGGTCTTATAAGGGCATATAGAATTCTAATAAAGAATACAGCGCATTTCTTTCAGTGTACCTTTGCCATATGCTAACATATAGTCACCCTTACCTATGCCAATATTTACCGGGTTCTTAAATTCTTGAAAATCACAAAACCAGTCACGAAGTTTCGTCATATGGTCCGATGCTCCAGAGTCGATTAGCCAGAACTCGTCATTACTTTCACCTCGATTTCCTATTAGCGCCAATCTGGCCGTCGGTTGCCGTACACTGGAATTACTGTCTTCCTGACTTCTTGATAATTGTTGTCTCGAATTTGCATCACTGTTACCACGAACATTTGATCTGTTATTATTTTTAAAACAGTTTTTGCTAGTATGTCCTTTTCCTTCACCTGTAGCAGTCAGTTCATATGACCTGTCTTTCCACAGTTGGCACTTGATTTTTCCTCTCATTTTGAAAACGTTTATACTGATCTTGCCTCGATAATTTAGTATTAGATTGTTGTTCCTGTACCCTAATCTCTTCAGTTCTTAATCTCGCGGTTAGGTTTTCTAGATTTTTCCACTGAGTCCCATGCACTATGAAAATGATTATATTATCTCTTGGATAAGGTAGACAAAATTCGTGTCAACAGCATTGATTCCGGAACTTCGCTTCCGAGACTGTTTCAATTTTGATACATTAAGAGCAACACTTTCATTCTCTATCCACTTTAAATCAAAGAATTGTTTCTGGACTATCGATAAATATTCATCTGATTTCATGTCATATCCGTATATGACTTTAACTTTTTCCACATTTCTCTCGCAGTTGTGCAGTTTTGAAACAAATCTTTTTCTTCTCTACCGACGTGACAATCAACTTTCTTGCAGCCTTATCTGCCTTTTGAAACTTTTTCAACTTAACTTGATAGTTCCCTGAATTTTCTTCTTGACGAACTAATAGCCCTTCACAAGCATATAGCATATCATTGTCCTCCTCTAGATAGATTTTGACTCTCCTTTATTACTTAAATTGCAGTTTTCGGTAATAGCACGCGCATATTTACTTTATACAAATTACCAATTTCAGATCCAATCGCTATAACTGTTTTACCATGATACATTGCTGGCCATTATAGAATTCTTCACAAATAAAAAAGTTCGAAGAGCAAATATTTCTTTTAAATACAAATGAAATTTTATACCTACTTATTGAAATTCAAAAGTTACCTAATCTCATAACTTATCCAGAATACACCCATTACAATGATTAGCATGACATTGACAATCGATTCATTGCTTGTTGATTACCGTAGATGTAATAATAACCGAGTTATCACTCTCTAAAGGTGACTGTTTATTTTTCGAAAAGTAAACTTTTTACCGTAAAATAATGGCGAGAGAACTAATTTTTCGAAGAAAATGAATATAACCTCTTTTTAAAGTGCTTGGAAAGACCTTCAAAATGCTTTTTGAAAACATTTCGTAGCTCAAAACTCGCGGAGTTATGATGAAAATAAAATGGTCATCTCATTTTTTTCGGAGAAAAAATCAACAATAAAATCTATGGCTGAACCATAAAAATAGAAACTAAGCGTAATCCATGTACAGTTGACTTTATTTAGGTACTAATAATAGGCTTTGCAAGTTGACCGGTTTACAACGCCTAAATTAAAAAAAAAATTCGAAATAACTCAAAAACTGAACAAGATACGTGAAAAATGCAATAGTTCAAACTGAAAGGTCTTTTTTATAATATTTTTGCTCTCTTTCAATTTTTCTGTAGAGCAAAAATTAACTGAGATATTACGTTTTATAGTTTGCATTTGCGTGTAAGGACCACCTTCTTTGATCCCTTAAAACCTAAAAATCTCGAAAACGAAGAGTTCAAGACCCTTCAACTATATAGGTTGATTTGTAGCTCTTGCAATTCCCTGCAAATTGCTTTTTGGAGCGATGAAAAATATTAAAAATTAAAAAAGTTATCGTGAAAAAACGAATTGTATTATTCAGTGGAAATTGTCGGATCGTGTAAATGGCTTAATTTCCGATAGTTTCCAAGGCGTAATAAACACTAATTCCACAATTTAAGTTTCGAGTTTTAAGTAATCTCGTAGAATTTAGTAATGTATCGTTGAGTGTATTGAAGCAGGTAAAAATTCTTCAATTCCTCATTAAGGGTTGTTTTTAACGGTTGAGACGTTGCAATGAATCATGTAACGAGCGTTCAAATAAAAACGTGGTCAAGTTGGTTCTGAAAATTTGGATGTAGGGCGTAGCGTATAGCAAATGAACTTAAACGTCATCTGTCAAAGCGCTATATCGCCGCTATCAATTTGAATATTTTCGTTTTAAAAAGCGTTTAAAATGGTGTTTTCTCAAGAACAAAAAGTGTTTATCATAGAGTCCTACTTTAGAAATGGACGCAAGATTGATGGAATATGGAAGTATTCTATTGAGGAATGTTTCATAGAATTTCAAAATCAATTTCCCGGCGTTGTTGAGTACAAAATTTTTCAAAGTGCAGTTCAGCGTTGTGTTAATGTTTTTCGTGAAACGGGCAGTGTAACAAGAAAAGAAGGAAGCGGCCGACCTAAAAAGCGGACTGAAGAATTAAAAGAAAATGTCCAACAAATAATGGAAAATGCGCCAAGAACTTCTGTACGTGTTTTATCACA